CTGAGCCGAAGGCAGCTGCTTAACCAACTGAGCCACCCAGGCGCCCCTGCCTCCATCCTTCTAATTGAATATTTCCTAGGTTTCATCTTCCCTTTAAATAACTCCCTTAGGGCACTCCGATGATTAGTTAAATTTCAGATACTCTTTGTGCACGTGTCTTGTAGAATTGTGGACTCTCCCAAGCTGGAAGAGATCTCCAAGTCATCCGTCCAAATATCTCTCATGTCTTTGTGGTCAAATTGATCATTCATGTCAAGTAAAGATGGGTTTTCTTGCATTTTCATTGATGCCCGAGGATGCAAGAGAACCCAAAACTGGTGAATTGTCTCTCTAGACTCTTCCATAACCCAGTTTCCCTTTAGTAAAAAACATCTCTGGCCTTATGACTTTCAACCACTCCAGCCTGCACTGCCCCCAGGCCCATTTTGATTGATAGTATCACATTCGCCTCTTACCTTACCCTTTGTCCCCTCTTCTATTAGTCCGCCTCCTTTAGAGCATGTCTGAAATCCACCCTCTCTTGCAACTTTCTTCTCTTCCTTCTGTAACAACTACCTTCTAAACTCAAGCCTTTCCTCAGCCCATCTGCTTGAGTTCCCTGCATCATCTCTCTTAGAGTTGGCTTGATCTTGGTAGTCACTTTCTCAGAAATTTGCAGTAGTGCCCAGCTATCTTACAAATTAAATAAAAATGTTAATGTCTTCAGGTAGAGAACCCAGCCTGTCTGTCCACATTGATTTTCCCATTTGAGTCTTAGGCTCTTCAACATTCCACTACTTAATTTTTAGAGAATTCTTTTGACAGTTATGTAGCTCTTCTTTGAAATGATAATTGTTATTTCTCTGTAGTTCTTTTAGTTTTAAGGGCTGATGACAACAACAGCAGCAGCAGCAGTAAAACTAGCTGGATCAGTGCCTTGCCCATAGTAGATAACTATCTGGGACCTGAACAACTGAGCAAATAAATGGAAGCACAGGAAATCACTGTAGACACCCAGATTTGCCCAGAAACCAGAAGTGTAGGACTCAGATTCTTGAAAAGAGAATTCTTGCTTCCTTGGTAGCTTCCTATAGTGGTCAAGAAGAATGAGCCTTACTAAATATGGACTAAGAATGGCCTGGGGCGCCTGGGTGGCTCAGTTGGTTGAGCGACTGCCTTCGGCTCAGGTCATGATCCTGGAGTCCCGGGATCGAGTCCCGCATCGGGCTCCCTGCTCGGCAGGGGGTCTGCTTCTCCCTCTGCCCTCTTCCCTCTCGTGCTCTCTGTCTCTCATTCTCTCTCTCTCAAATAAATAAATAAAATCTTTAAAAAAAAAAATAAAAAAAAAAAGAATGGCCTAAAATATTCCAAAATAATCTGTAATACTTTCAGGTTCTTGACTCAAATTCAGTATTTCTGTGACTTTATGTATGTTAATCTTCCTGTTTAGGAAGTTCTGCTATGAACAGTTCCAGTATCATTTTCTTTGGTTTGTTTTACCAGTTGGCTCTTAATATTTTATTTTATTTATTTTTGTTTTTTTATTTTTATTTTTTGTGATGGTAAAGGATGATTTTTATTATTTTTATTTTTATTTTTATTTACAGTTAACATTTTTTTATTATGTTCAGTTAGCCAGCATCATTAGTTTTTGATGTAGTGTTCAACGATTCATTGGTTATGTATAACACCCAGTGCTCAGCACCACACGTGCCCTCCTTAATGCCCATCACCCGGGTACCCCATCCCCCACCCCCCTCCCTTCTGTAACCCTCAGTTTGTTTCCCAGAGTCCAGAGACTCTCATGGTTTGTCTCCCGCTCTGATTTCTTCCCATTCAGTTTTCCCTCCATTCCCCTGTGGTCCTCCACGCTATTCCTTATGTTCCACATATGAGTGAAACCGTATGATAATTGTCTTGGCTCTTAATATTTTAAACTGAACTGAAGGGTGAGAAAACTTACCTATCAGATTCTTAATTAAACGATTCACTAAGACCTCTTTCAATGGTTCCCTTAAAATACACCTTTATGTAAAGAGAGGGCTCCACGTAGGAAGTCATCTCTCCTGCATTGTTTCCTACATATTTTTCTATATCCTCGGTCATTCTTTTCCTGAGCCCTAGGGTCTCTGGAGAAAAGAGCAAGCTCTTGTCATAGTCTTCACCCAACTGAATGTGATTTATTCCTCACAGTTTTACAGGCTACGTTCAGACAACCATGGGTTGTTGAGAGGAACTAACCCTGTTCCCCCACAGAGAGGAAAGACTGGCAACACATGGCTTTCATACAGTGCCAGTGAGTGCTGGTGCCATCAGGGGTCCTGGAGAGAGGATCAGAAAAGCACTCATGGAGAAAGTGCTTTGGGGAATATGCCTTTGAAGGATAGATGTGTCTTCAATCAGTAAAGACATGGGGAAGGGCATTCCAGGCCGGGAGACTGTCACTGAGCAAGGGCAATGGGAGGCAATGAAGAGTGTGTGTTTGGGTAATGGCAAGTACTTCCTGGCATTCAGAAGATGTGAGCAGTGGTGTGGCTCATGATCCCTTCAGTGCATGCTTCTTGTGCTTCTACTCTGTGCCAGGTGCTATGGACAGGGAGGAATGAGACCAGATTCTGGCTTTGTGCTCATACTCCAGTGGAGGCAGGGGACCAGCAAGGGCTGGAATAGTGATCAGGCACCCTAGAAAGTGGCAAGTGCCCTGAGACAGTGGTAGACAGTGAACTCCTTGGAGCTCATGGAGGAGGAATATGAGGAGAGCATGCACAAGAGAGCCTTCTACACAATTCTGGAAAAACTTGAGAAAAATGATATTTTTTGGATCCAAACTCATATACCCAGATCCTTCAGGCCTCATAAAGGCTGTGGGGTATGTTTGCCAAACATCAGAAATGGATTTCTAATTTGGGACCATGCTCTTAGGTTGTGCAAAATTGGTACCACTCAGATGGTACAAGGATCATGTGTCCCTCAGAGAAGGTGGGAATACTGCTGCCCAACATGAAGCAAGTCCATAGCACCTGTTAGAAGAAATTCATGAACATCAACACTTTTGTATCTAGGATTACACGTAAAAGTTTTTCTTAATTGTACATAAAGGAGAGTTTGTATAGAGGCAAATCTTAATGTCAGCTTTAGGGGTCATATCAAGGTCACTGGACAAGATAGCATTGGAAAGCTCAGTCCCTTTGGTGAAGCAGGATTGAAGGGGGCTGGAATTAGGAGGAGACTAAGGAAATTTGTCTTCATGCAGAAGCTAGAAGCAGTTTAAGAACCTTCTTGAGTGAGAAGCAATCCTACTTTCTCCACCCCAAAGCATTGCTATGAGAATCATAGCACCGTATGGAATAGTCAGTTCTAACCTGGAAAATCTGGGTAGTTGAAAAGGGTTCTCATCTTTATTTTAAATGTGCTGCTACATGATAATTGACTTCCCTTGTGTTGCTAGAAGGGCTATTTTTGATCTAGAAACATTTCTTTCTTTGAAGATCATCTGGATAGACTATCTACTGTCCACAGACAAAACATTCTTTAGTTTCTTCATCTCTTATTCTTGGGTAAGAAAACAGTTTTTATCTTTCAGACTTTTCTCATATACCTATCTTTTATATTTTACTGAGCACTTATAATCCAATGGAAGTAAGAGTCTTCTGTGCTTCGAAACTGATCAACAAGTCATAAGTGATTGGGGAGAATCTAAGTAATGAGTTGCATTTTAAATAATAATAACACCTGACTTAATCAATAATTCCTACTATCAAGACATGCTCAGTCAGGCTTAAAGCACAGGTCAAGATGTAACATCAAGTAATCACAGACAATTCTTTTTTTGTTTTCATATGGAATGCTTCACAGATTTGCATGTCATCCTTGTGCAGAGGCCATGCTAATCTCTGTAATTGTTCCAGTTTTAGTATATGTGTTGCTGAAGCAAGCACCACAATCGATTCTTAACACCAGTGAACTGAATGCATGTGAAATTGTATAGCACAAATAAAAATATCTGTTTATATATGTCCTTGATTTTCACCAGCTGCAGATTTAAATTAAAATAATATTTTATCTCAAGAGATTATGAGGCGCCTGGGTGGCTCAATCAGTTAAGTGGCTGCCTTCGGCTCAGGTCATGATCCCAGCGTCCTGGGATCGAGCCCCACATCGGACTCCCTGCTCAACGGGAAGGCTGCTTCTCCCTCTCCCACTCCCCCTGCTTGTGTTCCCTCTCTTGCTGTGTCTCTCTCTGTCAAATAAATAAATAAAATATTTTTTTAAAAATGTAACATTTTACCCATTTCCTGAGAGAATTATAAAGTGAAGAAAAGAAATGAAAAGATTTTTTTGGTTTTGATAAATTGTGGATTTTGGATTGAGGGGTGTGTGTGTGTGTGTGTGTGTGTGTGTGTGTGCAAACTCAGTTGGAGAACAAATGCAAACAGAACTGAACTTGAATGTTGATTTTTTGCATCTAATTTTATATTTATATAGGCATGCATATGGTCATATTCTCTTATGAATGAAAACCCAATCTACATATTTCCCTTGAACTGTGATGTATAAAATAAAATGTAACATGTATTTATTGCAAGAAATGTAATTTGATGTTTAGGTTCTCTGGGAACTTTGATATTTCTATACTGAAAAAATGAACAGATATGGAAAGTCTGTTTATAAATCTTAAGATGTAACCATTATACTCATTCTCACCCATTTCTTGCAAAAGGGACATTTTCCCAGGAATGCAGCTGGTCATTTCCATAAATATATTTTCAAAGATTGCATTGAACTTACATGTCTCTCATGCCAAATTGCTCATTTTATAAAAATATCTCAATAGAAACACAAATTGTCCTTGTTCAGCCTTGAAATTCCATACTGGGAATATTTTCTTAATGTAGAAATTCCACTGTGGTGGTTACACCTGGTGAACAGGTTTTACTTTGTTTCTGGCTTCAAAGTTATGTAGATGCTAAGTATTAAGGGCTTATTAATTTGGCTCATATTAAAGTGGCTCATACTATGCATGAAGGAGACCATTTTCTTACATAGGTAATTCTGAGTGAGACACCTTTGTAATGCATGATCATTGCAATTGTTGTTTTTCATGTTAAAAGAAAGTCTTTTCTGTTTTCCTTTTTTAAAATTTCAGCTTTACTGAAATATATTTAACATATAAAAATTATGGAATGCTTCATGAAGTTGGGTGTCATCCATGCACAGGGACCATACCAGTCTTCTCTGTATAGTTCCAATTTTACTGTATGTGCTGCCCAAGCGAGCACTGCTTTCAGTTGTTCTTTAAGAGAAAGGTTGGGGGCGCCTGGGTGGCTCAGTCATTAAGCGTCTGCCTTCAGCTCCGGTCATGGTCCCAGGGTCCTGGGATCCAGCCCCACATCGGGCTCCCTGTTTGGCGGGAAGCCTGCTTCTCCCTCCCCCGATCCTCCTGCTTGTGTTCCCTCTCTCGCTGTATCCCTCTCTGTCAAATAAATAAATAAAATCTTTTTTTTTAAAAAAAGAAAAGTTAGAGGTGAGCCCTTTATCCCTAGAGTTGTGTCTCAGGTGTTTGAGCAGGTTTTGTTGGGGACTGTTTGGGGGAGCATCTCGGACCGAAACCAGTGAACCAGTTAAAAATGCCCTCTGTACTTACCACATTCATTTTCCCCTGGACCCTTCGTAACCTTTCGGGGGATCCTAGACTGGTGTTTACATTCTATAGCTCATGAAATATTTATTGTTAGGTTTCCAAAACTTCCTTTCTGTCATTCGTAAGCTAAAATGCTTCTTGTCATTGAAGGTGCTTGAGGATGGAAAGTAAAGCAAACCAAGGACTCAGTGAAGTCATCTTGGAGATTCCCAGGGCTCCTAAAACCTATGAAAAGCCCTGAGATGTCCTGTAGTAAAAAATCTGCTTCACTATATTTAACTCAGCATTTTCCAAATGTACCCAACCAAGGAACACTTTGTTTTTATATTTGCTTCAGACCTATTAACATTCTTTGGTGCTGTGTTCTGTGGAAGCAATGACCTTTAGGAAGGTCTGGGTTACTTGTATTAGACCATTTAATGCACATAAGCAATGGCATCTGAGGCTGATATTCTCAAACTCCCCAGGAGTAAGATTTACCAGCCATCTCTGAGCAAGAAGATTAGCAGTTTTTTTTTTTAAGATTTATTTATTTATTTGAGAGAGCGAGAATGAGAAAGAGAGAGAGAGTACATGAGAGGGGGGAGGGTCAGAGGGAGAAGCAGGCTCCTCGCTGAGCAGGGAGCCCGATGCGGGACTCGATCCCGGGACTCCGGGATCATGACCTGAGCCGAAGGCAGTCGCTTAACCAACTGAGCCACCCAGGCGCCCCAGATTAGCAGTTCTTAATCACAACTTTAAGCTTCCTAGGATAACTGGCCATGAATGTCTGCATTGATTTAGGGTCCAGCAGGTTTGAAGGTAGCAAAAACTTCTGTGGTATCTCCAGTAGGTTCAGAAACTGGCCTTTTAGGCTTAGCACTTTGTCAGCTGCAGAGACAACGGAAAACAATGACCAACCCCCAGAAGGAAGAATGAGACTCGTTGGCACAGTCCCCTCTGCTCTTAAATGCTATTGCACAGGAATGACATTCGCCAGAGGTCTCTCCCCCTCTCCCTCTGTACTGAATGTCTTTGAGAGGATGGACTTCGGTAATCGTGACCACGTCCTTGGAAGGGAAGCGTGGGGACCAGCATCACAACTGTGATGACAAAGTCTCCTCCCCTTCCAAGAACGCTCAGAGAAAGTGTTGCTTCAGAAAGGAGTTAAAGAAAAGAGTTTCAGAATACATTCTTTGATTCTTTTTCTTTTTGAAGAATCATCTGTTGAGCCATTAGGGTCACAGACCAAATCCAATTCCATGTTTCTGAGAACCCATCTTTTTCCATTGTAGGAAATTGAGTTTGCATATGGTTTGACAAATTAACTTTTCTTTAAAGAAACAGTAAAAAGTAATTACTCATTCTGCAAAATTTTGAAATCCTTGGCATCAAGTTTCAGTGGATTTTCTTTTCAGTGAATATGATTGGAATTCTATTTAATATATAATTTTAAAAAGTCAGTTTTTGTTTATATAGCATATAAAGTAGATCTTATGTGGACAGTTTAATAGCAAATGTTTGTTTTATGAGCCAATAAAGACTCATAATTAAAAATCTTGAAAGTTCAACATAAGCCCAAGTTTTCTTTCTACTAGCTGGGGAACCTGAGCTTCACTGTGGCAGAGTTCAGGGAGTTACATTTAAGAAAAAGTGTGATTACTTTAACCCAGATGCTGCCCTGCTACCTATAACATCAGGACCCAGCTTCTGTGCCTCTGTTCCTGTGTTCCCTTTTTCATTTTTTTTTGTTGTTGTTGTTCCTGTGTTCCCTCCGTGCCTCTCATCTCTGTTCCTTCTTTTCAGCTTCCAGAACACTTTATGTGAATTTAAATTTTGCCAGTTTCAACCTTGTATTCTAGTTATCTGTTTACAAGTCTGATCTCTCAAAGGCAATCCATATCACCTTCATCTCTTTATCCCCCAGAGTCTGCCCTAGAGTCTTCACTTAGAAAATGTCAATCAAATGTCTAATAAATAAATGGGATTTAACATATATACAACACTTCAGGAAAGATGTGTTGTCTGATAAAGGGAAGCATTCCTTTACTTCCACAATTGAATGTTTCCTTTTTAATAAGAGCTCTCTGGGAAAGAGAACCAGGGTATTGGGACATAGGAGCTTCTCATTGTTGCTCTTCCCCTCTCGCATCTCCCCTGTACTCCTTTCCTTACAGATGGACTGCCAATTACAGCTTTTGAGTTTCTCATTCTTCGTTTTTGGTAAATTCTTGGGTTGATTCTTTTACAGATAAAACAATATTGGAATATGGGGACAAGTAATGAAAAAGGGGAGAGGAAAAGAGTAGGCTAGAGGAAGAAAGTGTCCATTGACTAAGCCTGGAAAGAGAGGCATTGCACAGCCAGCTCTGTTTGCTCAGTTTTGCGCAGTATCAGTGAATAGCTGAAATAGGACAGAGTTATAATGTGTGAAGGATAGGCAAGGAAAATTGTCTGTGTAAATAGCTGACTAGGAAACTTCAGGGACAATAGTCTCAACAATGCATTCTTGAGTCTTGAGTGAGTATAAGAGTGTTAGCCTTGGTTTGATGCCATCATCCGCTTGAATAATCACAGCAGCAAACACACAAGGGGGCTTTGATAGAGCTCTTGGGTGGGAGAGAGGTGTGACGGGGGCTTGGAACCCATCATCTCCAACCACTGGAGGGAAGTCAAGGTGGGAAGGAGTGGATGGAATGCACTTCAAGATTCTTGCCCTTTACAAAGCACGAGTGCTCCTGCACTTCAGCCTTGATGCTGTAAAGAGTCTTGAAGTACACCAGACTGTCACTCTTTGCTATAGACCAGAGGTTCTCAAATACTCAAATCTTGTGTCTCACAAATCACTGTCAAGGGACTGGGCACTCACTAGGATAGAAACCAAACTCCCCTATGTTTTTCAGCATAGGACATTGATGTGTTTAGACAGTTTGTCAGCATATTTATGATTTTTGGTGAGTTTCAAGGACATGATCAATTGCAGAAAGGTTATTGGACATAAATGTGATTGTCGATAGGCTGGGGAACCAAAATTGGGAGAAACATGAGATGTTTGTGCTTACTTCTAGTCGGCTGCAAGGTCACGGGTGGAGAACGGAGGCGGGAGAGGGTGGGAGGAGGGTAGGTGGGAGAAGACACGTGATGTTTGCAGATGGGTAAGAGTGTTGAAAGAGGGCCAATGTCAAGTCATGGAGAGGCGGTCCACTAGTGAGTGAATGCTCAGACACTGCCACTGACTCTCAGGGTGGCCTTGGGAAAGTTAGCTAAGCTCTCTGGACTCCATTTTCCTCAAAATGGAGATGGTAATAATAGAACCTT